GTGAGGTAGTGGGCCCGACCGGGCCATGCACTTTCTTTGCATTTTCGTTTTTCACCTCTTACCCGGCCGGGTTAAGTGTTATACCCGGTCGGGTATTTGCTCCTGGGCAGCCAAATCTTCTTTTTCTTCACTTCAAATTCTTCCTTTCCAACACCACCAATCCTAACTAAACTTTACAACTGACAAATAAAGACTAAAATACAATTACAACTGAAATCACATAAATGTTTACAAACTAAATAAAACGTCAAACAATTAACATAAATCAAACATAAAAACATGTAATTATGCACTACTAATTAGTGTGCATCAAACACCCCCACACTTAAACCTTTACTCGTCTCGAGTAAATTAAATCAAATCCAAGAAGTCCTAAATGACAAGAGTAGCAGCACCAACATCCACAAGTTTTTCCTTTTCGGCCTTCTCCAGTAAGGCCGGGATTTCTTTTCTGGTATCACTTCAATCCCAGGTGGGATCCATTCTCTTTTTGAAAATTTGAATAATTCTTCTTTTTCAAAAAGTTTGATGTTCTCATTTTTCTTCTCAACAAAAATATTCGGGGTTTGTGGTTCACAAACATTTAGAGCACAAAGAGATTGGTCTTGAATTTGTTTTTTCGTAGAATCAAAAATGTTGAATTCTACCTTTTGATCATCAAACTCTAAAGTTAATGAACCATTAGCCACGTCTATTTTTGTTTTTGCGGTTTTCAGAAAAGGCCTACCCAAGAGGATGGGTGTAGTTTGGTTATCATCTCCCATTTCCAGAACATAAAAATCAACAGGGAAAATCAAATTTTCTACTTCTACTAGCACATCTTCTACTACACCCTTCGGGTAAGTATTAGACCGATCCGCTAGTTGAATCACTACACCAGTTTGATGTAGTGGGCCGAGTTGTAAGGATTTATATAAGGAAAAAGGAATGACATTTATTGACGCTCCTAAATCCAACAAGGCCTTAGAAAATAAGGTATCCCCTATTTTGCAAGGAATAGTGAACATGCTTGGATCGCTACATTTCTCAGGGAGTTTCTTTTTAAAAATGGCCGAGACACGTTCACTCACTTCAACTTTTTGTTTCCCTTCCAGTTTATTTTTCTTTTTCATTGTGCATAGTTCCTTTAAGAACTTTGCATAACGGGGAACACTTTTGATCAGTTTGAAGAGTGGGATGTTTACCTCAGAATTGACGAATGTTTCGTAGATGTCCCGATCATTCTTCAGGTTCCTCGTGTCTTTCAATGCCTCAGGGAATGGAGGGAGTGGTTCATATGATGACAGTGGAGGGAATTTAGTCTTCGTTGGCTTCTCCTCTTCTTGTTGGAAGCCTTCTTCAAGATCAACCTCTTGCTTCCCCTCCTCAACTTCCCGTGGTTGCAATTCTTTACCGTTCCTCAACATGATTGCATTGACATGTTGTCTCGGGTTTTGCTCAGTTTGGGAGGGGAGCCTACCCGAATCTTTTGCTTCAAGTCGACTTACGGCATTTGAAATTTGGCTAACTTGAGTTTCCAAATTTTGAATGCTCGACTTGGTTTCATGTTGGAATTGCATCATTGTTTGTTGGAATTGCCACATGCTTTGCTGCATTGTTCCCATATTAACGGCCAGCGCTCGAATCATGTCTTCGGTGGACATACTCGAGTTCGATGTTTGGCCTTGGGGTTTGTATTGTTGAGGGGGAGGATTTGTTTGAGAATTTCCGTACCTTAAATTCGGATGATCCCTCCATCCCGGGTTGTAAGTATTTCCTTGAGGATCGTACCTCCTTTGACCTTGGAACCCCAAAGCATTGACTTGCTCGGAGTTCTCTTCTTGTAGCGTTGGGCAAGAATCTGTGGGATGCCCTTGCGTGGAACAGATGCCGCAGACCTTGACTTCTTGGGTTTTTGGATTTAAAAGGAAATCTTTAACAAAAGAAGTCAAGCCGGCTACTTGACTTTCCAACGAATTGTTGGATTCCGCTGCCATGACTCGTCTCGATGATGACCTTCCGTTGTAATGTCTCGAATTTTCGGCCAACTCCGAAATGAGGTCTCTTGCTTGAGAAGGGGTTTTGTTGACAATACCCCCTCCGCATGCCGCATTCACCATGCGTCTATCTTGATCAACAAGTCCATCATAGAAGTAGAGAATGAGATCTTGTTCTGAATATCCATGATATGGGCAACTAGCACATAATTTTTTAAAGCGCTCCCAATATTCATACAAGGTCTCATTTTCTGCTTGCTCAATGTTGCTGATTTGCTTCTTGAGACTTGAAGAGATAGAAGCGGGATAGTACCTGTCAAGGAAGCTCTTTTTCATTTGAGCCCATGTGTTGATGCTTCCCGAGGGAAGATAGAATAGCCAATCTTTGGCGGTGTCTTTGAGGGAGAATGGGAAGGCTCTCAATTTGATTTGTTCCTCGGACACGCCATTGGGGCACATGCTTGTGCACACAATATGGAACTCTGACAAGTGCTTATTTGGATCTTCCCCTCGTAGGCCATGGAAAGAGGGAAGTAGATGAATGAGCCCAGATTTTAGCTCGAATGTGACCCCCGTATCAAGAGTTGGAAAAGTGATACATAAGGGTTGTTGATTTAGATTCGGAGCCGTTAGCTCCCTCAACGTTCTTGTTTCAAGAGCCATGTGAAAGGACTCTTCGGATTCGCTAGAATGAGAACTAGCACTTGATGATTCCTCCGAAGAAGTATTCGGAAATAGATTCCTGAACCTCTCGAAGGCTTGTTCTGTTTCGGGCTTTGTTTGGTAGGTGATTTGGTTTATAGATCGGTGTTTAACCATATACTCAAACAAAGCTCAGCAAAAATAGAAATCTTTATATATTATTTTTTTTTATTTTTCTTTGAAATAAAATAAAAAGAAAAAGAATTGCCTTTCCCCGGCAACGGCGCCAAATTTGACGAGCACTTCGTCACGGTGCGTCAAAATAAATTCAATACTAAACACTTATACGTAGTATAGCGTAGTAGAGTTCGTATCCACAGGGAAAGGAATAATTCTATTTTTATGATACTTAGTAAATAAAAAGGGGGGATTTGGATTGAGTGATTTGATTTAATTAAGAACTAAGATGAACAACCTATATGTGTTTAATTCAAAGATAAAAAGGACTTGGCATTGCTACTTTCCACTTGTTGATATATTTTAGTCGATCATCGTCATATCTATAACTTATTCCCTCTCGAATACTCAATCGGGGAGTATATCCACTTCATCGAGGGTAGTTATTAACAACGACCGTTCATTAATAACCCTTACTATTAATCAAATATAGAACAACGCCTTATACCGATTTAATAGTAGCATTTAAACTTTCTAACTCCTTGATGAAATCAATTGAGATTGATAACCTTAACACAAGCGGTTTCGGTTTAACCAACAAAATTAATCCCTCTTAAGTTTATTAACCACGACCGTGCATTAATAAACCGAAGTTACTTACTTGTGAAACCATCAACGATTAACCATCGGTTCGTTGATCGTTTCTAGTAATAATTAATATATGAAACAAAACTAGTTGATCCTTTAAGTAATGTTCAAAATATTAATATGAAATAAGAGTAGGAATTAATTAATATTCATGGAAGAATATTATTAATGAAGATGAATCCTACTATAATTAATATCAAGATGTTAACTAATTGTCATCTTAGCAACACTCCTCAATATTAATATAGAGGAAGAAAATACCATTCTAACTAATGTCGAGATGTTAACTAATTGTCATCTTAGCAACACTCCCCAACATTAATATAGAGATGGTATTAAGGAAAGAACTATTAATTAATATTCAAGGGAAGAAGTTAAGAAAATAACTCACAACTTTAATAATCAACAAGCTTCAAGAGCAACACCAAGAATGGAAGTTTAGCTCCTCATTTGGAGACTAAACATAGCTAGAAAAATATAAAGAAATGCTATTCTAAACTGAGCTAAAGAGTATGGAAGAAGGGATGATTTTTAGAGGAGAAAAAGAGTGCTATTTATAGGTGTTTTTCAACACCTTTGGCCGGATACCCGACCGGGTATAGTTTTACCCGACCGGGTGCATGTCAAAATCAAATATCCTCCACGTTCTGGCGATCTTCGGCATGTTAAAGTGTCCGGGTCAAGTCAGACCCGACCGGGTGGGGTAGGGGACCCGACCGGGTGAGTGCAAAAATTGGATTTTCTACACGTTCGGGTGATCTTTGCACACCGGGTTGTCCCCGGTCACTTCTCACCCGACCGGGTGAGGTAGTGGGCCCGACCGGGCCATGCACTTTCTTTGCATTTTCGTTTTTCACCTCTTACCTGACCGGGTTAAGTGTTATACCCGGTCGGGTATTTGCTCCTGGGCAGCCAAATCTTCTTTTTCTTCACTTCAAATTCTTCCTTTCCAACACCACCAATCCTAACTAAACTTTACAACTGACAAATAAAGACTAAAATACAATTACAACTGAAATCACATAAATGTTTACAAACTAAATAAAACGTCAAACAATTAACATAAATCAAACATAAAAACATGTAATTATGCACTACTAATTAGTGTGCATCAAACACCCTCACACTTAAACCTTTACTCGTCTCGAGTAAATTAAATCAAATCCAAGAAGTCCTAAATGACAAGAGTAGCAGCACCAACATCCACAAGTGTTTATAACAAATACATAAAGTGTCTCCAAAACAAAAAGAGTAAAGATGGGTCTTCAATTTCAATCCGAACTCTCAATAGTAATCGCCCTCAGGATCCTGCAAAATCAAAAGAAATAACTTTCTCTCATTCTCTCATTTTGCCTAGGTGCCCTTTCAGGTTTTCAACCCAGCTTCCCACATTTTTTTTTTATTTTTATTTATTTTTCTCAAATCTCACAAACTCACTCTTATTTTTGCTTTATTTTTGCTTAAGATGCCCTTTGTGGGTTTTCAACTCAACAAGCTTTCGTTTTTTTTTGTTTTTTTTTGAGATAACAAGAATAAAGAGTGTGAATGTGAACATACCAGGAAGATCTCTTCACCCCCACACTTAGGATCTGACACTGTCCCTAGTGTCCGCCTAGACCTCCACCTTGGTGTCCGTCCTCATCCATGTGATCCCCGCCATAACCACCATCGTAGCCTCCACCACCGGAGCTCGATCCTCCAAAGAAATCCCACTGAGAGGGGTCATACCATGATGGTGCAGGAGGTGGAGTGGTCATAGAGGAAAAGGAGCCCTGGTGTGCTATATATGAGTATATCGGACCAAAGGTTCTACGCTGATCCTCCTCAGATCTCCGTCTGTCTTCCTCATACCTACGCCAGTCTGCTTGTCGCTGCTCCTCCATCCTCACAATGCTCTGGTTGAGCGTGACCATGTTATCGAGCATTTGTTGCTCGAAAGGTGTGTAGTGGAATGCTTGAGGTTGTGGTTGTTCGGGTATGATTGGGGGTTCTTCATCATCTTCATCGTGGATGGGTTCTTCATAATGATCCGGGATTGCCCCGGGAAGACAATAGTGATGACCATCCCCGATTTGGTGATTGATGATATCCAGGGGGACGTCGACTGAGGGTATCTGGAGGTAGATGGAAGTGCGTGGGAGAATGCGCCAATTATAGATGTGTGCCCCAGTTGGTGTTGTGTGCGAGGGGAGCAAGTCTAGCGTCTTTTGTAAAAGCCATTCAGTGCAAATAAGGTGTCTTGAGGTGATGGGGCCAGGGTCTATAAAACCATATAAAGTGGCTAGATGTGTGATGAGGCCCCCCATAGCAATTGGTCCTGTTGATGTTGCCACGTTGTTGAAATGAGTCCATAAGATGGTGGCAACATCAACTTGATTTGGACCCGGCAAAACAGCTTGTGCTAGAACACACACATCCCAGATACGTGTGTGATGATTATTCGGTCTTCCGAGGAAACAATTTGAGCAAAATTTTAAGAATAGTCGGAAGACCGGATGTTGCACACGATTCACACTCAGTTTAGATAGATCAACCACATTCTTTCCGGTCATTCTTCTCCACAATTCATACCCCACAAGAGAATCATATGTACGTGCTTCATCAAACCATGGGAGACCAAAATGTTGAACAAATTCTCGTTTGGTTAATGAACGATCCTCATTTAGTAAACAAAAGGTGATTATGTCATTTGCATGATCATTCACATCTTTTGTATACGCAAATGAGCTAAAAAATTCATACACCAAATGAGGATATGTCACATATTGCATTTCAAACATTCTAGATATTCCAATTCTTGCAAATATGTCACGCATCACATTATCAATCCATAGTAGTGCTAAAGTAGTTAAGCACATAAAACGGGATTGCTTTACCTCCCTTTTTGATTGGTTGATGAAGTTGTTCCGTTGAGCCTCCGTAGCAAACTCCACGCTCTCATAGCCCGCTACCTGTGGGATAGCTCGATTTCCCCTTGAGGAAGAGGCTTTTGACTTTCTTGGAGCCATTGAAGTTCAATTTTTTTTTTGATTTTTTTTTTTGTGATTTTCGGACTTGGGTAGGGTGGGGTTTGGAACTTTGGGATTTTGGTAGGTCTTGGGTATTTTGGGGTTGTGAGAGTGGAGAGGATGATTATTAGGAGAAGAAATTGGGATTTCTTGGGATTTTTTGTAGAAAAATCGGAACTTTGGGGTATTGGGGGTTAGGGTTTCGGATTTTTGCAAATGGGGAAGAAAATGGGATTTTATGGGTATGGGTGTGTTGAGAAGGTTGAGGAGATGAAGATTATGGTGTTTTTTAGTGGATTTGGTGGAGAAATGGTGTAGAATCGAAAGTTTTGGTGTGTAAAAATGGAGGGGTTTGGGGAATTTGTCGTGGGGAGGAAGACGAAATGGGGGAGGAAGGGGGTGAGCCCGACCTGGTAATGGCTAATTTCCCGTTCACCCGGTCGGGTGAAGTCTCCCGCCCGGTCGGGCTGTGCAATGTTATGTTATCCAGTAGCTACTGGAATGAGTACCCGGTCGGGTGCTTTAGGGTACCCGGTCGGGTCTTTCTGATTTTTTTAAAAATAAATTCGTACCCGCCCGAGTTTCAGAAATACCCGAATGGGTATGCATTCCAGTGTGTTTGGAGCCAAAAAATGCGCAGACCCGGTCGGGTTCTGGAAGGCCCCGGTCGGGTATATGTTTTTTTTTGTTTTTGCTAGCAACCCGGTGGCCTTGTGCCCGGGTGTTCCGTTTTTTATTAGAAAACCCGACCGGGCTGTTTGAGATACCCGGCCGGGTTTCAGCCCAGGCTCAAATTTTTTTTTTTTTTTGAAAAAAATTATAACACACGAACTGAAAAAAAAAATGAAATTAAAAATAAAAACTTGGGTTGCCTCCCAAGAAGCGCTTGATTTAATGTCGCGGCACGACGTTATTTTTATTTTATTTTTTTATTTTTATGTGGGATCGTGAACATCCCTTGTTTTATTTTTCCTTTTCGGCCTTCTCCAGTAAGGCCGGGATTTCTTTTCTGGTATCACTTCAATCCCAGGTGGGATCCATTCTCTTTTTGAAAATTTGAATAATTCTTCTTTTTCAAAAAGTTTGATGTTCTCATTTTTCTTCTCAACAAAAATATTCGGGGTTTGTGGTTCACAAACATTTAGAGCACAAAGAGATTGGTCTTGAATTTGTTTTTTCGTAGAATCAAAAATGTTGAATTCTACCTTTTGATCATCAAACTCTAAAGTTAATGAACCATTAGCCACGTCTATTTTTGTTTTTGCGGTTTTCAGAAAAGGCCTACCCAAGAGGATGGGTGTAGTTTGGTTATCATCTCCCATTTCCAGAACATAAAAATCAACAGGGAAAATCAAATTTTCTACTTCTACTAGCACATCTTCTACTACACCCTTCGGGTAAGTATTAGACCGATCCGCTAGTTGAATCACTACACCAGTTTGATGTAGTGGGCCGAGTTGTAAGGATTTATATAAGGAAAAAGGAATGACATTTATTGACGCTCCTAAATCCAACAAGGCCTTAGAAAATAAGGTATCCCCTATTTTGCAAGGAATAGTGAACATGCTTGGATCGCTACATTTCTCAGGGAGTTTCTTTTTAAAAATGGCCGAGACACGTTCACTCACTTCAACTTTTTGTTTCCCTTCCAGTTTATTTTTCTTTTTCATTGTGCATAGTTCCTTTAAGAACTTTGCATAACGGGGAACACTTTTGATCAGTTTGAAGAGTGGGATGTTTACCTCAGAATTGACGAATGTTTCGTAGATGTCCCGATCATTCTTCAGGTTCCTCGTGTCTTTCAATGCCTCAGGGAATGGAGGGAGTGGTTCATATGATGACAGTGGAGGGAATTTAGTCTTCGTTGGCTTCTCCTCTTCTTGTTGGAAGCCTTCTTCAAGATCAACCTCTTGCTTCCCCTCCTCAACTTCCCGTGGTTGCAATTCTTTACCGTTCCTCAACATGATTGCATTGACATGTTGTCTCGGGTTTTGCTCAGTTTGGGAGGGGAGCCTACCCGAATCTTTTGCTTCAAGTCGACTTACGGCATTTGAAATTTGGCTAACTTGAGTTTCCAAATTTTGAATGCTCGACTTGGTTTCATGTTGGAATTGCATCATTGTTTGTTGGAATTGCCACATGCTTTGCTGCATTGTTCCCATATTAACGGCCAGCGCTCGAATCATGTCTTCGGTGGACATACTCGAGTTCGATGTTTGGCCTTGGGGTTTGTATTGTTGAGGGGGAGGATTTGTTTGAGAATTTCCGTACCTTAAATTCGGATGATCCCTCCATCCCGGGTTGTAAGTATTTCCTTGAGGATCGTACCTCCTTTGACCTTGGAACCCCAAAGCATTGACTTGCTCGGAGTTCTCTTCTTGTAGCGTTGGGCAAGAATCTGTGGGATGCCCTTGCGTGGAACAGATGCCGCAGACCTTGACTTCTTGGGTTTTTGGATTTAAAAGGAAATCTTTAACAAAAGAAGTCAAGCCGGCTACTTGACTTTCCAACGAATTGTTGGATTCCGCTGCCATGACTCGTCTCGATGATGACCTTCCGTTGTAATGTCTCGAATTTTCGGCCAACTCCGAAATGAGGTCTCTTGCTTGAGAAGGGGTTTTGTTGACAATACCCCCTCCGCATGCCGCATTCACCATGCGTCTATCTTGATCAACAAGTCCATCATAGAAGTAGAGAATGAGATCTTGTTCTGAATATCCATGATATGGGCAACTAGCACATAATTTTTTAAAGCGCTCCCAATATTCATACAAGGTCTCATTTTCTGCTTGCTCAATGTTGCTGATTTGCTTCTTGAGACTTGAAGAGATAGAAGCGGGATAGTACCTGTCAAGGAAGCTCTTTTTCATTTGAGCCCATGTGTTGATGCTTCCCGAGGGAAGATAGAATAGCCAATCTTTGGCGGTGTCTTTGAGGGAGAATGGGAAGGCTCTCAATTTGATTTGTTCCTCGGACACGCCATTGGGGCACATGCTTGTGCACACAATATGGAACTCTGACAAGTGCTTATTTGGATCTTCCCCTCGTAGGCCATGGAAAGAGGGAAGTAGATGAATGAGCCCAGATTTTAGCTCGAATGTGACCCCCGTATCAAGAGTTGGAAAAGTGATACATAAGGGTTGTTGATTTAGATTCGGAGCCGTTAGCTCCCTCAACGTTCTTGTTTCAAGAGCCATGTGAAAGGACTCTTCGGATTCGCTAGAATGAGAACTAGCACTTGATGATTCCTCCGAAGAAGTATTCGGAAATAGATTCCTGAACCTCTCGAAGGCTTGTTCTGTTTCGGGCTTTGTTTGGTAGGTGATTTGGTTTATAGATCGGTGTTTAACCATATACTCAAACAAAGCTCAGCAAAAATAGAAATCTTTATATATTATTTTTTTTTATTTTTCTTTGAAATAAAATAAAAAGAAAAAGAATTGCCTTTCCCCGGCAACGGCGCCAAATTTGACGAGCACTTCGTCACGGTGCGTCAAAATAAATTCAATACTAAACACTTATACGTAGTATAGCGTAGTAGAGTTCGTATCCACAGGGAAAGGAATAATTCTATTTTTATGATACTTAGTAAATAAAAAGGGGGGATTTGGATTGAGTGATTTGATTTAATTAAGAACTAAGATGAACAACCTATATGTGTTTAATTCAAAGATAAAAAGGACTTGGCATTGCTACTTTCCACTTGTTGATATATTTTAGTCGATCATCGTCATATCTATAACTTATTCCCTCTCGAATACTCAATCGGGGAGTATATCCACTTCATCGAGGGTAGTTATTAACAACGACCGTTCATTAATAACCCTTACTATTAATCAAATATAGAACAACGCCTTATACCGATTTAATAGTAGCATTTAAACTTTCTAACTCCTTGATGAAATCAATTGAGATTGATAACCTTAACACAAGCGGTTTCGGTTTAACCAACAAAATTAATCCCTCTTAAGTTTATTAACCACGACCGTGCATTAATAAACCGAAGTTACTTACTTGTGAAACCATCAACGATTAACCATCGGTTCGTTGATCGTTTCTAGTAATAATTAATATATGAAACAAAACTAGTTGATCCTTTAAGTAATGTTCAAAATATTAATATGAAATAAGAGTAGGAATTAATTAATATTCATGGAAGAATATTATTAATGAAGATGAATCCTACTATAATTAATATCAAGATGTTAACTAATTGTCATCTTAGCAACACTCCTCAATATTAATATAGAGGAAGAAAATACCATTCTAACTAATGTCGAGATGTTAACTAATTGTCATCTTAGCAACACTCCCCAACATTAATATAGAGATGGTATTAAGGAAAGAACTATTAATTAATATTCAAGGGAAGAAGTTAAGAAAATAACTCACAACTTTAATAATCAACAAGCTTCAAGAGCAACACCAAGAATGGAAGTTTAGCTCCTCATTTGGAGACTAAACATAGCTAGAAAAATATAAAGAAATGCTATTCTAAACTGAGCTAAAGAGTATGGAAGAAGGGATGATTTTTAGAGGAGAAAAAGAGTGCTATTTATAGGTGTTTTTCAACACCTTTGGCCGGATACCCGACCGGGTATAGTACTTACCCGACCGGGTGCATGTCAAAATCAAATATCCTCCACGTTCTGGCGATCTTCGGCATGTTAAAGTGTCCGGGTCAAGTCAGACCCGACCGGGTGGGGTAGGGGACCCGACCGGGTGAGTGCAAAAATTGGATTTTCTACACGTTCGGGTGATCTTTGCACACCGGGTTGTCCCCGGTCACTTCTCACCCGACCGGGTGAGGTAGTGGGCCCGACCGGGCCATGCACTTTCTTTGCATTTTCGTTTTTCACCTCTTACCTGACCGGGTTAAGTGTTATACCCGGTCGGGTATTTGCTCCTGGGCAGCCAAATCTTCTTTTTCTTCACTTCAAATTCTTCCTTTCCAACACCACCAATCCTAACTAAACTTTACAACTGACAAATAAAGACTAAAATACAATTACAACTGAAATCACATAAATGTTTACAAACTAAATAAAACGTCAAACAATTAACATAAATCAAACATAAAAACATGTAATTATGCACTACTAATTAGTGTGCATCAAACACCCTCACACTTAAACCTTTACTCGTCTCGAGTAAATTAAATCAAATCCAAGAAGTCCTAAATGACAAGAGTAGCAGCACCAACATCCACAAGTGTTTATAACAAATACATAAAGTGTCTCCAAAACAAAAAGAGTAAAGATGGGTCTTCAATTTCAATCCGAACTCTCAATAGTAATCGCCCTCAGGATCCTGCAAAATCAAAAGAAATAACTTTCTCTCATTCTCTCATTTTGCCTAGGTGCCCTTTCAGGTTTTCAACCCAGCTTCCCACATTTTTTTTATTTATTTTTATTTATTTTTCTCAAATCTCACAAACTCACTCTTATTTTTGCTTTATTTTTGCTTAAGATGCCCTTTGTGGGTTTTCAACTCAACAAGCTTTCGTTTTTTTTTGTTTTTTTTTGAGATAACAAGAATAAAGAGTGTGAATGTGAACATACCAGGAAGATCTCTTCACCCCCACACTTAGGATCTGACACTGTCCCTAGTGTCCGCCTAGACCTCCACCTTGGTGTCCGTCCTCATCCATGTGATCCCCGCCATAACCACCATCGTAGCCTCCACCACCGGAGCTCGATCCTCCAAAGAAATCCCACTGAGAGGGGTCATACCATGATGGTGCAGGAGGTGGAGTGGTCATAGAGGAAAAGGAGCCCTGGTGTGCTATATATGAGTATATCGGACCAAAGGTTCTACGCTGATCCTCCTCAGATCTCCGTCTGTCTTCCTCATACCTACGCCAGTCTGCTTGTCGCTGCTCCTCCATCCTCACAATGCTCTGGTTGAGCGTGACCATGTTATCGAGCATTTGTTGCTCGAAAGGTGTGTAGTGGAATGCTTGAGGTTGTGGTTGTTCGGGTATGATTGGGGGTTCTTCATCATCTTCATCGTGGATGGGTTCTTCATAATGATCCGGGATTGCCCAAGGGGTTCCTAGTGTCACGCCCCGGACCTAGCCGGACACGTCAACAACCCGCCGTACAGTACGAATAGTCAACCGCAGTCCAACTCATCCATACTATACAAAGCGTCATGAATATCATTCACACATAGTACATCCATAAACAAACATAATGTAAAACATTCATTTAAAACAGCGGAAGCATTAATACAATTGTTCAAGCCACACTTGGCATGACTAGGCATACAAGCCCCCAAAGTAATTATTTCAAAAATAATATCCATGAGCATTGTTATAATTATTTTGAAAACAGGAAACAGAAGAAGCACGAACCACGTCTTCTCCCTTGAATATCCCCGAAGCAACGGATGCCGGTAGCAACCTTCAAGTTCTACCTGAAACTGTGAGGTGGCCTCCCCCGTGAAGGGGAGGTCAGTAATTGGAAATATTTGACAAGTACAATAGCAACTATACTAAGTATAATCAACGTTTTAATTTCCAAGACCCTCAAAATAGGGTGATATCATAATATAAATAACAATTTATATTCCCCACTTATTATCTTTATAATAAGTGAATTTATTTATCTGTCGGCACACGACCCTTCTTATATGTTCCTTTTCATTTATCATTTGCACAACCCAACCCTTGGGTCTTATTATTTCTACGGGACTTGCTACCGCTGTCCGAGACCTCATGAGGCTCCCGGTTCGGACTCCAACATCCCGCCCCTGGACTCGTACTCATCATCCCGTAGGAAGGTAAGGCCCTTCGGGTCCTATCTTATGTGTTACCGCTACCGGAACCTAGTTAGGTCTCCGATTCGGATTCCACCCTAACCCGTGATCACGATGTAAGTCCATGTTATCCAACCCCGCTCTCTAGAGTCGGGAAGGGCCATGGTCCTTACTTATTTCCATAATTCAACCGGCTATCCACAAGGACTACCGAGCACACCCGTAGGCCAATCCTATATCTAGGATCAATTTAATATTTACATTATCTTGGGTATCCCTTAAGGCCTACCCCTAGTATAACTTAAAGTTCATACTTTCCTACCTTAAAGCATCTCTTAAGACTACTTAAGGCATAACATTTCACAATCCAACCTTTGGATCAATCTTAACAACATTTCATTTTAATGTCCAACTAGTATCTTAATACTAGTCAAATTAATATCAACAAACCAAGTTCTCAACTCATAGTCATATAGACAATTCCAACTGATTTTCCTTTGAAAATATCATTTATCTCAATATTCAAAATGTCACTTTTAATCACTCATATATTCTAATATGAAGAAAAAGTATATTTCAACATATGTTTCATAATAAATTCCACCTTCAAGTCAACATACTCATACCACATGAACATACACAATTTACTCTTAAATTTGTATATCATGCCCCTTTTTCTTTAGACATTTAGTCTTTTCATTTTTAGGCATTATTAATCATTAATAATCCCAAAAAAACACATTTAATTACCTTCGGTAATCTCATGAAATTAACTCACTAATTATAAGCAATATAGTCAGTCATCCTCACCTCGAATTTGCTTGAAGAAGCTCTACCCTTCTAGGTTGAACTCCGGCAATACTCCGGTGAACTCCGACGAAACTCCGACGAGACTCCGGCGAAACTTCGGCGAAAGTTGGGAACACTTTAGTCAAGCTCCTAACAAGGTTTTATCATCACAAAACCCATATCAACACAAATAACCCTTAAAAGGTTATTTTCCGGCGAATCGGTCATTTGGCTTCTAAGCCCGTTCTTGGACTTAGAACTACCTTCCAACCCCTTGTTCTACACTTCTAAACATGAAGAACAATCCTAGGGGTCCTCAATATGATATATAAGTCTTAGGGTAGCTAAGAAGTAGAGAAAAAGTTAGTATGAGGTCATTACATTGATTCTTCACACTTTTCCTATCTTTCTTCTTCTCCAAACCTCTTTCTTTTTTCTTGTTTGAGCTTGAGCTCGAGTTGGCTATGGATAGTGAGGTTTTCAGAGCTCCTGTGCCTTCCTTTCTTGGTGCTGGACGAGTACAATGAGTGGGAGAGGAGGGAGGATGGTACTTTTGTCCTTGATTGACAATTGGGTGAGGTTAGGGGTCCCTTAGGTGTCAAGATGGTCTTCCACATCCCTTCAATGGATTTCAGCCACAATTTAGCTCATGCCAGCCTCCAAGATCTTGGAAATTTCGTGGTTTGGCCCCCACTTGTGTGGGAGGTCACCCCTTTTTGTCCAGAAGTGCACAATCGGTCCCGAAAGTTGCATTTTTCGGCCCGTTTTAATCATATTTTATTTTATCGGACCAAATAAAATATATTACGCGTTCCAAATAATTATGGGCCTTTAGAATAGATGTACATTCCCCAACATTAATTTAGGAGTCTCCTAAACTCATTTCGGGCTGTTATCCGCTAAATTACAAATACCGGTAATTGGGCCCCATTTGACCAACCGGTCAACTCCATGCCTTCTTATGGCCCAAATAGAGTGTCCATCACCATATAGATGTCATCTAGACCAAGATGAATACAATATGTGGTTCGGGAATTATCGGGCGGTCCCCGTTCCCGCTGTGGGCCCCACATGCAATTTACTATTCACGTAAAAGAAATAATAAAAATTTACAATCACGCAATTTCTCAAATCATCCTTCAAGGTTTATTACATAATTTACTAAAAGTAAATATGCCCGGGGTCGGTGTTACAAGTTCACCCCCCCCCCCCTTAACGGGAATTTCGTCCCCGAAATTCACAATGCTCATTCAAACAAAAACGCGTATTGCTCTTTCATCAAAGCTTCCGTTTCCCAAGTTTCCTCCTCGACTCGGTCACTTTTCCAAAGGACTTTAACCATTGGAACTTTCTTGCTTCTCAATTTATTGACTTGCCTGTCAAGTATTCTCACCGGTTGCACGGCATAATTCAAGTCTTCCCGTATTTCCACGGGTGGTTTTTCTAATACATGAGATGGATCCGGCATATGCTTCTTAAGCATAGACACGTGGAATACGTTATGTATCTTCTCCAATTCTGGAGTCAACTGTAATCGGTATGCCACGGCCCCAATCCTCTCAAGAACCACGAATGGCCCTATGTATCGTGGGTTAAGTTTCCCTCGGCTCTGAAATCGGATGATTCCCTTCCAAGGTGAAACTTTAAAAAATACTTCATCTCCCACCTTAAACTCCAAGGCTCTTCGGCGCTTATCGACATAACTTTTCTGTCTATCCTGGGCCGCCTTAAGTCTCTCACGAATCATCTTCACCTTAGACTTGGTGATCTCCACCAATTCCGTGCTCTCGAGTTTGGTCATGCCAACCTCATCCCAACACAACGGTGTACGACATCTCCTCCCATACAATGCCTCGTATGGAGGCATGCCTATACTTGCCTGATAACTGTTGTTATAGGCAAACTCCACAAGTGACAAATGGTTGTCCCAACTCCCTTGGAACTCCAATGCACAGGCTCTCAGCATATCCTCTAATATCTGTATAACCCGCTCAGATTTCCCATCCGTTTGTGGATGAAAAGTTGTACTGAATTTCAACTTTGTCCCCATAGATTCTTGGAATTTCGGCCAAAATCGTGATGTGAATCGCGGATCTCTATCGGATACAATGGTTATAGGAACCCCATGTAGCCTCACGTTCTCATCCACATACAACTTGGCTAACCTCTCCAGTGCATAGGTGGTGTTGATAGGTAGAAAGTGTGCGCTCTTTGTGAGCCTATCGACCACAACCCATACGGCATCATAGTTCTTAATCGTCCGTGGCAGCCCCACCACGAAATCCATAGTCACGTGCTCCCACTTCCATTCAGGAATGGAAAGTTGCTGTAGTAACCCAGCCGGATGCTGATGTTCTGCCTTAACTTGCTGACAAGTAAGACACCTACTGATGTACTCGGCTATTTCCCTCTTCATACCCGACCACCAGTAACTTTCCTTCAAATCACGGTACATCTTCGTGCCTCCCGGGTGCATGGCATACGCCGATGAATGAGCCTCTTCTAAGATGGACTTTCGGAGCTCATCATCCAACGGTACACACACTCGGTCACGAAATAATAAGAGACCATCGTCTCTCTCCCTGAAATCCTCAACCGGTCCCGCTAGCATGCGTTCACGGATCTTCATAAGTTCTTCGTCGGTTTCTTGACCCTTCTTGATTTCATCAAGTAATGTAGGTCTCACCTCGAATCTAGCTAACAAGGCACCATCGCTAGATACCTCCAATTGGGCTCTCAATGCCCTCAAACTAGTCAATAATGCCCCAGATGAATTCTTTCGGCTCCAGGCATCCGCTACCACGTTGGCTTTACCGGGGTGGTACTCGATAACTAGATGGTAGTCTTTTATCAACTCCATCCACCGTCTCTGTCTCATGTTTAAATCTTTCTGAGTAAACACGTACTTCAGGCTTTTGTGGTCAGTGTATATATGACATGTTTCCTCGTAGAGATAATGTCTCCAAATCTTCAATGCGAACACCACCGCCCCCAGCTCTAAGTCATGAGTGGGATAATTTACCTCATGCTTCTTCAACTGTCGTGAAGCATAGGCAATCACCCTCCCATTCTGCATCAAGACACATCCAAGCCCTTGGATGCTTGCGTCGCTGTAGACATCGTACCCCACACCCTTTTTGGGTAGTGCGAGTACCGGTGCCTCGGTCAATCTCTCCTTCAGTTCAAGGAATCCCTTCTCACATCGGTCATCCCATACAAACTTGGCCCCCTTTCGAGTGAGCTTTGTCAATGGCGATGCCAAAACTGAGAACTTCTCCACAAATTTTCGGTAGTACCCTGCCAATCCAAGGAAGCTACGAATTTCCTTGACGTTCTTTGGCCTCTCCCATTCAGTAATGGCCTCAATCTTCTTGTTATCTACGGCAATCCCTGATCCT